TCTCAGTTGGTAGAAGCCCCCCCCACCGAACGCGTGTCAGTTGGTAGAAGCCCCCTCCCCCCCACCGAAAGTGTGTGACTTGGTAGGGTCGAACACGCGCTAGCTAATAAATAAATAACCAACGACAGCACTAAATCTCTAATGAAACTACTTTAAAGGTGACGGACGCGAAATCGGAATAGCGCTGGCTCAGCACGGGGATTATAGGCGTGCTAGCTGGCTACTTTTTTTAAAGGTATACCCCACGGTTTGCGAGCCAAATCCTTCGCAAGTTTCCGCCACACACACAGACGCACAGACAGACAAACAATGACATTTCTAGGTAAGAGAAAAGATGGAGCTGGTTACCTGAAGGCATGAACAGCCGTGCGAGACAGAGGTGGCGGTGGTGGTGGGGTTGGAGTGGCGTGGGGAATAACCCAGGCCAATCAGACTGCACATAAAATTATCAGATCGTATTTTGTTTGCCTGTTTACAAGTACAGAAAGGATACGTACTTGTGGTGAACATTCATACTACATTCCTTGCAAACGGTATCTTAACACCTGTTTTATCACCAGAAAGGCTAAACACATATTCATGTTTTTCCCCAACCAAACTTGTGTGTGTGTGTTTTTTTATATAGATTTAACTCTTTCTGCCGCGTGTCACTTAACGTGAACGGACATCATAAATAGGCGGCAGATTGCAAGAACATGAGTTGAGTTATTCACGAGGCATATGCGCCGGCTGTAAAATCTTATGGACTCTTCTGACACGGGTATCTAACGCGTGCGCCGTTTAATGTGTAGCGCGCGCTTAAACTGGTTGTCAAAGTTTATTTAGTGATCACTTAAAAAAAAGATATACTGTACTGTGTACGGCATATCTAATTTTACAAAGTGCGTCTGGATTTCCAGGCACTGCACTGCCGCGTATCGCGAGATTGTAGTCAGCAGAGCGGAGCAAATACAAAGATCACCCGCATAGACTCTCATAGACTGTTGGGGCAAGTGCTGGTAGTGAGCAGCACCTATGGGAGGAAGAGCAGCCTTTGTCTCCCCAGCGCCGATGTTTACACACCGCAATAGGTACCCATTTGAGGCTGAGTCGACCTAGGCGAAGGCCCAGGACTGGTTGACCGTGAGCGGCAATCGAACTGGGACCGCCAGGGTTCATAGCGCAACGCGCTGACCACTCCACAAGTGCCGTCACCACATCTACGCCTCTATTTAAGGAACAAAAGAGGATTTCTCCACGAATCTGGCTGTCGCCTGATGAAGCTGGTTGTGATTACTGGCGAAACGTCGTACTCAGATTGTAAATGTTGTGGCTTTGCTCTCCGACACACCGGTGTGCTGTACCAGTGACAAATTGGCACGTTCTGATTACGTGACAACCTTTACTAGTTGGCTGTGTCGGGTGGTGGAGGGTTTAACGACACATTAACGCGATCTAACCCCAAAAACACCTCTATTATGTATGTACCGTACATTTAACTTCTTTCGCGCCGTACGTAGCCGACCGAACCAACCGGAGGCATCGGCGAAATGGCAAGGTGCGGGAAAAGGTCGACGGTTTTCATCGCTCGGTTCTCAAATCGTCGATTGCATTCCACGTGGTTGCTCTTCACCAATGCTTTGATTGCATCATTCCCCGATCTAATGTTGGGGTTAAAGAGCTCTTCTGATGCTTCCAGCCTTGCCGAGATCTTCTGACGTGGTTTTGCTCAAATGTCATGACAGAATGAACGGAGGGCCAGTTTATCTTAAGTTGTGTAAATAGCATGTTTATTAGGGGGTTTGTTTTTTTCTCTCAATAATACACACGCCTACGTCAAATGTTGCCTTTTTAAAAGAGACTGCTGTGGGCGCATCGTCGCCGGAGGATGAGATATGCATACACGGTAGAATCTTGATTATCTAATAACGGAGATAATTCAACATCGCGGATAATCCAACAATATCCATATTCCGCGGAATACCAACCTTCGACCAATCGATTTCTCGCGAGCTCGGAAGACTCGGCCCACTATACTAAGTGGATGATCGCAGAGCCACGCCAATCAAAAAATCAATCAAACTCCTCCCCACTCTTGTAAAGATATGGCAACTGCTGTACTGTAGAGGCGATCACGTGTATGTCGGATTCACCGGAGCAACATTTGTTCGGTTTAAGCACGTGACTTGTAATACACATTTTTAAGAATAACAATGTAGAACTGTTTTTTTTTAGATCATTAATTTGGGCTTGAGGGATAATCCACGAGTTATTAATTCATGTCAAAATCTCAGGTTGCGCGGTTAATCCGCAAATCGGATAAACCGCAAGCGAATAATGAAGAGCCTACCACCGTAGGATGTCTACTGTATGTCTCTAACTGCGTGTGCCGCAATGGATGCTGGACCACCATCGTCCACGATCCATGTCGGGTCTTTTTTTTTGTTTTACAATCCACGAGTCTCTGGCATTCCGTGCTGCGTTTCACACGCGCGCGCGTTGCAAAGTTGCACTTATGAAAGGGTGAGCGAAAGGAATTCCACCCCACCCCGACCATCTCAATCGGTGGTGTAAAAGCATCGGAACATCTCGGAGGAGGCACCAACGTGACCGACGTTGCAACACTTCCCACCCATTGTTCACCGCTCATCTCATTCCACATTCGTTCTGCTCAACTCTTGAGAGCGACGAGATGCCCCGAGAATGGCACCGATGTCCTCACCTCCCCGCCCATCCCTCCACCCGCTCGTCCATCGCACGTGGACGGAGGGGGCTCTTGGCAAGCCCCTGCAGAGGGAACCCCCGTTGCGACTGCTAAGAGCGTGCCCAGCCAACCCAGCGAGCGAGTGAGCTGGCTTCGCTGGCTGGTCACGGCTACTGCAGGGCCCGAACGCGAAACTCGCCGCTGCTGTTGCTAAAGGCCAGGCCGTGGATATTGCAGCAGCCGCCTCTACGTGAGAGAAATTAAGCATGGGCTGAGAATACAAATGAAACGCGATGGCTGCTGCTATCATCCCCTCTCCCCCCCCGCCCGTTATCAGCTCCGGCAGCGTGAGCCGGCAGCGATGATGATTACGACGACGACGATGATGACGATGATGATGATGACTTTGGGAGGGAGATGAAAATAATGACGGGACATTCTGCCAGGTCGTCGCGTTTGGATTGGTGGGGGGGGGGGAGGTGGCGAGAGGTGTTCCGGACAACTCGTTGGATTATTCTTGCGTTGTCTTCTTGTAAGCGGCTGTCCCGCCGCAGCCGCAGTGCAGCAGCAGCAGCAGCAGCGGCAAGACAAAGGGGGTAGAATAATGACCGGGGCCGTGAAAGTGCCGCATATGAGATAGCAGCAGCAGCAGCGTCTCGCTTCGTCTGCTGCTGCTGCTCCCGCACCCCCACGCGGCGGCGCGCACACCATCATCACCACCACCAAACCTACCATCACCACCACCATCATCACCACACCATCACCACCACCAACCCTACCATCATCACCACCATCATCACCACACCATCACACCACCACCAAACCTACCATCACCACACCATCACCACCACCAACCCTACCATCATCACCACCAACCGTACCATCATCACCATCACACCACCATCACCACCACCATCACCACCACCAACCCTACCATCACCACCATCATCACCATCACACCATTATCACCATCACACCATCACCACCACCAACCCTACCATCACCACCATCATCACCACCAACCCTACCATCATCACCACCATCACACCACCCCCAACCCTACCATCATCACCATCAAACCATCATCACCACCGCCACCAACCCTACCATCATCACCATCACACAATAATCACCACCACACCATTACCACCACCAACCCTACCATCATCACCATCACATCACTACCAACCCTACCATCATCACCATCACATCATTATCACCATCACCACCACCAACCCTACCATCATCACCATCACCACCAACCCTGCCATCATCACCATCACACCATCATCATAACCATCACCACCACCACCCCATCACCATCATCATCACCACCACCCCACCACCATCATCACCACCATCATCATCACCACCATCACCACCCCACGATCACCCCCACCATCATCACCCCACCATCACCACCACCCCACCATCACCCCATCATCATCACACCATCACCCCACCATCACCACCCCACCACCACCCCCACCCCACCATCACCAGCTCCACCGCGCAGCGTTTTCACATTCCGTGCGCCGCGCCTCGCCTCCGCCGCCTGCATCGCCGTCTCTATTCCAGTTCTGCGCGTCCGTCGCTCCGTCTTGTCCCTCTATACTCGTCCTCCCCCTCCACTGTCGCCTCCTCCCCCCACCCTCCACCGGCCCTCCGTTACCCCCCCACTCCCATTCCGCCCCCCCCCCCCCCGCGCGCAGTGCGCGCGCGCGCGCCTCCTCGCGTGTGCGTGCGCGCTGGCGCGTGCGTGCGTGCGGTGCCTGCGGTGTGTGCGCGCATGCGGTGTGGTGCGCGCGGTGTGGTGCGCGCGTGTCCCTGCTTCATTCTCCCGCTCGGCTCCCGCTTGCACCACGATCACCGCTTCTCACACGAGAAGGGAGAGAGGGAGGGAGGGAGAGCCGCAACCGCGTTCGACCGAGCGACAGCCGCGCAAAAGAAGAGAGGCCTCCTCCTCCCCCCCCACCCCCATTTTTTTTATTTTCTCCTCCGTAACGCCATGATCGCCTGCTCCGTCCTGCCGGACGCTGCCAAGTTGCTAGCTTCTCTGCAGGCCTCTGCTACCCCCGCCGGCAGTGACGGAGGCAGCGGCGGGCACCGCAGCCTCCGCCACTCATCCGCGGCCGGGGCAGCGCCACCGCCACGAAGAGGAGCAGGAGGAGCAGGAGGAGGAGCGGTGCGGGATCTTCGCGTGGTCCCTACGAGGAGGAGGAGGAGGGGGGGGTCGAGCGCCGCGCGTTCGTCGGTCGTCCCCCGTCGCCATGATCATGCGCTTTAAACGCGGCTGCCTCTGGGCTTCCTCCCGCAGCGACTACGTGGTGGAGGAGAAGAGCGTGGTGCTGTGCAAGCGGGACAACGAAGGCTTCGGCTTCGTACTGCGCGGTGCTAAAGGTGGGCGACCCACACACCCCACACACCCCCCCTCACACTCTCCCCCCCCCCCACACTCTCCCCCCACAACCCCCCTGCCCGCTCCGTCCGCATTTCCCTAACCCGTCCCCTCCTAAACCCTTCCTCCCACCTCCCCTCCGTCTCCCCTCCCCTCTGCGTTCTCACCCTCCTTGAGCAACCGCTCCACCCCCACCCCATCCACACCTTGTCACCAGGTACCGCACCTGGGGGAGGGGGTGGGGGTGTGTGGGCAGAGTTGGGGGGGGGGCTCTCCAAAACGCTACTTCCGATTAGCACACCAGGCGTGCCAACACGTGCGGTGCCAATTGAAATTCCTGTCCACGCTCGATCCACCTCCGCCCATTGTCGGCAAACGTCGTTCTTTGAGCACGGCTCAAACACACACCACCACCACCACCAAATCCCGTCGTTAACGCGCTCGCCGCACGCGTGGGGATTGCTAAACATGAGCTCCGCCGACGACCAGCACGTGACGCGAATGGAGCGGCCCGTCGACGATTCAAACTCAGCGCTTCCCGCATCCCCATCTGGCGTCACGCTGCGAACACACTCGTGGTCACGCCAGTCACACACACACAGACAGAGAGAGAGAGTCCACACGTGCGAGATATCTCTCTTTTTTTCATGTTATCTTGAACGTAATCAACGCTCTGCTGGGACAACGACAAAGATTTCCCACCCACCCGTCCCGTCCCTCCCTCGCCGGATAGCCATAGCGGACACTGCTGAGAGGGGGGGGGGGCACAAAGTGATGTTAGCGAGCAGCAGTACCTATGATAAAGGGGCCGTCAATGGCAAACGAGATTGGGTGGGGGGGGGACACACCTTTGTCTCCCTAGTGGTGATGTTTGTGTTTTACACACCGCACCGGCTACTCATTTGAGGCTGAGTCGACCTAGGGGGAGGCTCGGGACCGGTTCAGATCATTAATGATCGCTGTGCACGGGCGGTGAGCGTGAGCGCAGCGCTGCTAGCCGCTACACTACCGCTCCCCCACCCCACCCCCAACTCACTACTCAGGTGGAACACACACCGAGACACGCGCGCGCACGGAGATCTTGATGTGAATCAGCGCCGCATAAGTCATCACGCACGCGGGCACACATCCTACAAAGACAAAAGATTCTCCCCCACCCCCCCTTGCCCCCGCAGTATAGACTTAAGACTTGCCTGTTAGCGAGCACCAAGCTATGAAGGCCGGCACGGCACGCGTGGCGTATGATGATGGGGCTTGGCTCACCGTCACCACGCCACCATTCAACAAACCCTCCCCGCCCGCCTCTTGAATGTTAATCAGTGAGCGTCGCGAGCTCCTCGGGCCCCCCAAGTTTGCCGTGCGTAAAACGTCGTGGATTCCTGCTGGGGAAAGCCGGCAGACGGGACCGTAACTCAGGTGGAGGAGGAGGAGTGGTGGTTTTAGGGGGTGGGGGGGGGCTGATGGGGGATGCTTCGTCAAGCGACGTTTAACCAACGTGGCCTTGAAGATCGTCGATTGAATGAATAACAAAGCCACGCGTTTCGTTCGTCTTGTGGTGCTGCTGCTGCTGCTTGCTGTGGAACGGACACCGTTTTGACTGGCCCACAGGCGCAATGTCACCTGCATTACATTGCCAGACGAGAGTATTTTATCAATTAGGTACTGCAATGCAGTATATGTGTTTTATATATATACAGACACTGTGTGTGTGTAAATGTGTAGAACATAACCAGTGAACGTTGAACGTCGGCTCAACGTTGGCGTTGCTTTGCTGGGTACGTGTGAACGCATTAATTGCACCTCCAACCTTAGCGCGGTTGGCTACGTGCGGTGCGAAAGAAGTTCTACATACGCGCGTGTGTGTGTGTGTGAATCGTGCACAGTACATTCCTCCCCGTGTCAACAAAACGCGCATCCTGTACCGACAATACAGTACTCGGTATACATACAGTATATGCTTATAACTGCATCTACAGAATGTGGTGGTTTACGCATCATTGTGGTGTGTACTGTGCAGAGGCAGAGTTCTGTACTGCCGTGTGCAGATTGCATAACGCTAACACGACGTAGACCCCACACGCGTCTGCAGCTTTGCACGTTGGGGTTAAATTTAATCTGTCGACCAATATTTAGCTGTTTTATATTCATCTTCTTGGTTCTTTCGGTAAAGACTTTACCGAAAGAACCAAGAAGATGAATCCCTGCAGTCACGAAAGCTTTAAATCGAAATCTGTTTTATATTTTTACCCGGCTCGCCGGGAGACCCAAGCAGACGCCGCGTTACTCGTAAGCCACGGCGGCGAGATGTAATACTCGACGTGGTGTACCGCGTTCCTGAAATATTTTACCCCTTGGCGAGTCCAGAATCGGCTGCAATGTTCTTAACCCGTTGCGTAACACACGAATGCAAATGAAGGCATCGTCACCATCATCATCATCATGCCTTGCAGTCCAGTGCCTTGGGTGTTATGACGCTCACAATTTTGGCGTCGACAAATCACTGCAACGTGGCATAATCAGGAGTCGTCTTCATGTCCACTTGGAGGAATCCGATGAGCTATAAAGCACTTTTTTCGCACACATGTCCGGTATGGGGGGGGTCAGAAGCAATAGTGATGTCAACGTTGCTTCTGCCACGCGTCGTTCGTCGGTGAGAATCTCAGCCTTTGTGCGTGGGGGTGAACTGTGAGGCCGAGTAAACGTGGAATGTCGTTGTGCATCAACTGATTGACACGCGAGGTCGGGGCAATCGCCGCCCGGATATCGCTGTAGCGATTGGCCGGTCAGCCGCTTACAGCGCGGGTTCATGGACAGGATGTGACAGATTTTGTCATATCGAGGGTGCTTCAAAAAAATGTCAACACTTATATGGGACGCTCGTTTTTAATGGAAAAATAACGGATAATACTCCACTGTAACATAACAAATTTAATGTTAATCGCTTCAAAGAGTCTCCACTCGTTCGCCATCGTCGTCAACGCGTGGCCTGGAATCTTCTCCAGGTGGTCTCCAGAGCCCGGAGACGGCACATTTCTCGTGGTGTTGTTGCAAATTCTCGGAAGTGTTCACATTTTTTTGAAGCACTCTGTAAATCGGCCGTTCCATTGTATTTTTAACTCGTGTTTTACTTGTGCTGTCGAGTCACGGACAACGCCACCGGCCACTGTCCTGTGATCTGGCATCAAGCTAAATGTTGTGATAGGTTTAAACAAAGTAACGATTGTGGCCGGCTTGAATTATTTTCTAATTTCTTTTGATAAACTGCTGGTAAAACAAAAACGAAATTATGCCCTGATGCTAAGACAAACTTCGGTTAAAATCATGGGATCTCCCGTGCCAATATCAAAATATTTGCATGTTCACCGCAAGTACGTGTGGTTAAGGCAGACACGATTCCTCGCAAAAGGTTTCTGTTTGGTGTTTAACATCATATCTTGTGGGGTTTTTTGTAAAAAAAAAAAAGCATCCAAACCAAATATTTCTATCCCGCTAGAAAATTATCCCATTTTTATTCTACCTAAGCAGGGGTTAAAACTTGATGTGCTGGACTGTGCACCGCTGAAATACATGTACGCTCCTGTATGTATAACACAGCGAAATTGAAGAGGAAATGAATGGGCTTTCAGCTACAGCTGTGACGATTGGTACACCTTGAATGAATGGAAATTGAACGACAGTGCACCCAAAAGATTACGTAATGTACTGTTTTGTCCTGAGGACATGTTTAGCCTCTTAACTGCCATTGCTTTTTGATGTGAATTTTAACAAACGTGACTTGTGTGGTTTAAAAACACGTACTGTATTGGGTTTTTTTACATTTAGGAGAGGTTTTCCAGCTAAGGGTGGAGGAAGGGGGGCGTTAGGTGGATTTCCAGCATCATGCAAATAATTCAACGGGACATTTAATTAACACCTAATAACGTAACAACTCAATGTAATGTAATATTTCACAATTTATTTGCACTAAAAATGCACAAGTGCAGAGTTTAATCGCTTGCAGTGGTCATGAAGCTTCGCCGGAAGGCCGAGGTTCAGTCGATGCGGATGACAGGCTGAAGAGATTTTTCTGACAATCTTGAAAACTTGATTTTGTTTATGAAATAAGCAAAGAACATATTTTTTAGCAACAACGAGACGCAGCCGACTTGTAGAAAATATTTTGATGACCGAGTTGTCACTGAATACCATACAACAGATTGGGATATCCATTTATAAATGCAAGTGCACAAACACATGCCTCATCTTCCTGTGCATCACTGAGTCAACTGCATTGCAAGAAAGGTGTTATTTTGGTTTACTTTTTGTAAATCCCATATATTTAATAATTAATTTCGGCCAGCCCTCTGAGTTACCGTGAATTGTCTCGCTTACTCGAGGTCTGGCTTTGAGAGATTTGCACTGTAGTCACACGACAATGACCCCACGTTTCTTTAAAAAAATTATTTTGCTTACCCGGGGAAGACTAACACAATTTTCTTGCAGGAGGATCCGTCACCCTACTTGGGATCAATAACAGAGGGTTTTTTTTAATATTTTAATTCCATTTGGCAAGCTAGAGGAATGCCTGTAGAGCACCCCGCAACGTTTAAGAGAGAAAGCGATGGAGAGAAAGTAAAATAAGTGATGAGAATTATTTACATATTTATTTCAGGTAATTTTCCCAGGCCAATATCATTTTCCGCGAAAACTTGCCCATTCACGAGCGTCTCCGGAACGTATCCCTCGCGAATAACGACGGTAAATACTCCGTGACGTCAACAAGTTATCGATAAACGTAGACGACGTCGATGTAAATGCGTGACTTTTCTGAGCGATGTCGGTGAGCTGAGATGCTGTCGCCCGTGTTGGACTGTAGCGGACACACCTATCGAAGAATTCACCCCAACGCCAGCCTTCCCCGCGCTGCAGTACCTGGAGTCTGTGGATGACAGCGGCGTGGCGGCCAAGGCTGGCCTCAAGACCGGAGACTTCCTCATGGAGGTAGGCCCAGGCCTCTGTGTGTGCGTAGCTTTCACAAGCGGGCCCCTTTCCTTTCTCTTCCGTCAGCTTTCCGCGACCGTGAGGCCGAATGGAGTCAAGTCCACTCGTGTCTGTCCTGCGCTAATTTTCTTGAACGTATGTACGTTAGACTTCTTTCGCACCATCTGTAGCTGACCGCGCTAATCGGAGGTGCGGGGGGAAGGACGGAAAACTAAACACAAAAAGCAATTCTAAAGAAATACATTTTCAATTTAGATTTAAAAGTGTATAAACTCTAGTGGCTTCCTAATATCGGAAGGAAGAGCGTTCCAGACGGCCGCAGAAGCGCATCTGAAAGAGCGCGATGCGGTGACCGTCTTTGTTCGATGCTTCGCCTAAAGCCGCTGCTGTAAAGGATGTCCGGAGTTTGCGCGATGGTTTATGCTCCTTGACGAGATGTTTCACCGATCATCTCCAAGCCTTTCTGCTCCATGTCCCTCTTTGATGTGTCTGTCTAGCACAGGCTTGCTCTTTACTCTACCACGTGTCCCTTCTACTCTGGTGTGCATTGCCATGTGTGTACCACCCTTTCCGGGTTTATTCCTGCTAGATACCAAAATCATTGCAAACGTCTGTCGTGGATCATCCACAGCATCACAATGTTCAGCCCCGAGTTGTTTAATCAAGATCCTTACATCAAATTTTCATTTGCATTGTGACGATTATCAGAATGTGCTGGTGGTGTGAACTTTTTATATGGTGCTTATCCTCCGTATGTTTTTTATTTAAAGTTTGACATTTTTAATGGGTGAACAATTTGACGTCATAAAAATTAATTCTCACGTTTTCAGTAGTGGGCTGGGTAGTTTTATTTCTGGCTGTCCACTCTGGGTGCTGGGTAACATTGCACGTCGATATATATCGGGGCGCGTTGTACATACTGCACCTCTCACGTGGGTACAAATGCGATGCCTTTCCGTCGCGTTGTTTCAACTTGGCACTCGCGATTTCAGGCCGCCTGAGTGACATCGTTGCCAAGGTCCCACCTTGAAAATGAAGAGGGGAGGACCTTTACCTTCTCATGCGGTCTGAATAGAAGGACGCGTAGATGTGCGTAATGCACGTAAGGCAGAGCGCATTCCACGTTGCCAGATCTCAGCATCAAAGCAGGGGTGAGTGTAAAGGGCGCATGCATGAACGAGTGACCACCTTGCAATACATTTTAAAAACCACACAGGTGTAGGACACCGCAAGGCTATGTCGTCAGCAGAAAAGGGAGTGCATTGTTGTGCCGTACGATACGCCGATGCCTCTGCTGCCTGCCTTCACCAAGCCGGGTCGGCCAGCGTGGTGAAGCGAGGCCCGAGACACACACACGGCATGGGAGGCCTTCTTCCAGCTGTGGATTGACAAAAGGGTTATATGTGCACGTACACACTAAACTAAAAAACTCAACTATTGTTGATGTCACCAGGTAAGGACCGCTGAGCTATGCAGCTCTTTTATCAGAAGCGACCTCGCCAAAAAATTATAGTTCTCTTTGGTTCTTTCGGTAAAGTCACATAGAAGGGAAATAATAAAATAATAATAGTTAAACATAATAAAATACAATTCTCACGACGTTTCGGCCACAACGCAAGCAGCCGTCCTCAAGTGAAGAACAGGGCTGTCGGAAAGACAGCGTCATTCAGACGCTGTAAAGTCTACGTGACTTTGCCGAAAGAACCAAGAAGACGAATCCCTGCAGTCACGAAAGCTTTAAATCGAAATTTAAAAAATGATAGCTCAACAAAGTGGTGTATCATGTGCAAATTCATAACAGCCAAATGCTCTACACACACGTTGTTTCTAAATGCGGAGGGAAAAACCGGAGCACTCGATGAAAAATCCACACAACCACGGGGAGAACATGCAAACTTCAAATATACATGCTTCAGGGTCGGGTATCGAACCCATAACCTCCTGTATACCAGGCGATGGAGTTAACATCTCGCCACCGCTGCATCCCATACATACAAACGTGGTCTACAATCCGCAGGCCATGGTGATCTTGCTGGTGCTGCTGTACCCACGCGCGGAAACCTCGCGCGACGATACGGCCAGCACAGTTTCACCCAGGTCTGTGCGCCAGAGACCCGGGAACCAGTTACCACCGGTGGGAGTCTGAGACGGTTCTGCGATGGACTTAACTCGGTGTTGTTATTCCGAAGCGTTTACTGCTGTGTGTTGTACATAAGCGCGCGCGAGCGCGGTGGACTGGAATCATAAGATTGCGCGACAAATAAATGTAGAGATTTATCGTCGCGGTGTTCGAGGGAAGAGAGCCAGGCTTGTGCTGCTTTTAAACCGACGCCTATCGTCCTCTTGAACTGTTGGGAATTTTAAGGAAACCAGTGGGCTGCTGGCCCTCCTGGATATTATAAAAACGAAAATAAGTTGGCTTTCCTATTACACTGGTTTGATTGCAGAAGGAATACTTTCACATTGGAATAACAGTGCACCTGGCACGAACGCTTCTCATCAACAGCCTCCTCCGGTGAACTCACACCTACATGATTAATCCGCGCAGCAACGCAGTTCTCCTCCAATTCATACATGTTATTAATTTATTTTAAAATAATTAATTTATGAGTAACCGGCTGCAGCAATTACGACATCGGATCCAAAAGCAACGATCAGTGTAATTCCTTCCAAAATGGAACGAGCAGGTGAATGCGATTTAAGATGTTTGAATCGAGCAACAGAAACAATGTTTTCTTTTTAATGCAATTTGTAACCAAACTAGAGATTTAAATCCGATTTCAAAATTCAGCTCTTCCCGTCATACGCAAAAAACCGCCGTGTTGTCGCACAGGCGCTGGCTCGTACGCTGGACTCCCAAAGCCGTGCCTAGCCAGGAGGTGAAACCTCCGGCACGCGTGCTCATCCGTCCGCGCTTGACGCGAAGGGCGATTGGTTCGGTAAGCCCATCGTGTGGACATCTGTGACAAAAAAAACCTTCACAGCTCATCACATTTCTCCAGTCTAAATATTCTGATTCCGATCCCTTGGCCGTTAGCTTTTGCCGGGCTAAAGCGTCGGCTACTTCTAACTATTTCAACGCTTTCGATTTAAAGCTTTCGTGACTGCAGGGATTCATCTTCTTGGTTCTTTCGGTAAAGTCACGTAGAAGGGAAGTAATAAAATAATAAAAAGAAAACATAATAAAATAATTCTCACGACGTTTTGGCCACAACGCAAGCAGCCTCCTGAGGACAGCTGAGCTTGGGCAGTTTGTTGGCGTCAGCTAATCGCGCGGCCGCTGCCTTCCCGCTTGTCGGCGGTTTCTCCTCGCACCTCAGAGTCGTTCTGTCTCTACGAGAGTGAGCGTTACAAATTGATTTTATCGTTTGAAAGCAACACAAATAACTTACACGTACATTACTATTATTATCTATAAATAAGATTTTCCCCACGCGAACCCCAGGGCTCCATGAGTGTTAACGCGTTAAGCGCGAGCCGTCGTTTTGCTTCGCTTTCTTTGTAAACGCAGTCTGCAACGCGGAATTCTTCTCAGGAAAACCTCGTCTCTTCAGTCTAGATTTGAAGCTTTCGTGACTGCAATGAATCATACTCTTAGGTCTTTTTGGTAAAGTCACGTAGGTGAAAAGAAATTAAAAGTTAATAAAAGTAATAATGGAAATAAAATAAAATAATAAAAATCACGGCGTTTCGGAGGCAACACAAGTCTCCGTCATCAGGTGGGACCGTCACAGCTAAAATTACTGCATCAAGTCTCTTCAGTCGTTCGTAGCGCAGAGCTCCGCAGCAGCAGCAGCCGCGGTGACTTTTGCTGCTGACAGCCTGAGACGGGCGCTGGTTTTAAAACAACCGCACACCTCAGATGAGCACGGTTGGCTATGTGCCAGAGGTTCAACGTGCGTACGTACACAGTGACCGACCCACGTGGAAGGAGGGGTGAATGGTTGTGAATGTAGCGGATAAAGACCGCTTGTGTTGCGATCGAAACGTCGTGGGTTTTTTTGCTTTTATTATTTTCAATGTATTTTTACGTTTCATTTTTCATTTAATTTAACTTTTTTTTTCTATCCACGTGACTTTACCGAAAGAACCAAGCACACGAATTCCTGCAGTCACGAAAGTTTTAAGTCAAAATTTAAGAACGCAAAAGTACAACTTGTTGACAATATTGCGCGATGGGCTTTCACCCTGACCGCGTGTCGCGATAACTCTTTCCGGCAGCGTGAAGTCACGTACGTGCTTGTGTTCCACTTCTTTCTTGACCATGCGTGGCCAACCGTTGCTAATCGGAGTTGCTGTTGTAGCTGTGTTGAGGTTGAGTTGGGTTGTGGGGTTCGTTGAGTTGGCTTGGGTTGATTTGGTTTAGTTGTGGGTTTGGTTAGTTGCGTTGGGTTGAGTTGGGTTCAGTTAAGTCGTGTTGAGGTTGTGTTGGGTCGGGTGAAGTTGACTTTTGTTGGGTTGGTTGTGTAGGGTCTTGTTGGGTTTGTGTTGGGTTCTGTTGGGGTTGTGTTGGGTTTGTGTTGGGTTATGTTGGGTTGTGTGTTGTGTTGTGTTGGGTTTGTGTTGGGTTGTGTAGGGTCCTGTTGGGTTTGTGTTGGGTTCTGTTGGGGTTGTGTTGGGTTTGTGTTGGGTCGTGTTGTGTTGGGTTGTGTTTGATTGTGTTGGGTTATGTTGGGTTGTGTTATGTTGGGTCGTGTTGTGTGTTGAGTTGTGTTTGGTTGTGTGTTGTGTTGGGTCGTGGTGGCTTTGTGTTGGGTCGTGTTGTGTTGTGCGTTGGGTCGTGTTGTGTTGTGTTTTGGATTGTGTTGAGTTGAGTTGTGTTGGGTTGTAATCACTGAAACCTACATCATGTTGAGGAACTCGGCTGTCGTCAACGCTGTGTGCCATCTTTTCTTTTTTCTTGAAATTATTTCATACTTTTTATCCCCCTGCCGTTTTAAAACATGCCAATTCAAAATTTACGTTTTGAAGCACAAAAATTTTAGTGTTACTATGTGTCA